CAAAAAGTAAACAAGTTGTTCGAAAGCAATAATGCAGACCCAATGAAGATTTTTAATGAACTCAATGTTTTACTTTCGCATCTATGCTCCCTAGTGGTTATTAGCGCGGACACATTTGATCCTATATGCTCCCCGTTGGAACCATACCTTGCTCCATTTCCTCAGTTTTATCACAGTTTTGAAGAGTATTTAAAAACAAAAGTAAGCACAAACGCTTTTGACCACGAAGCCGAGAAAATAATTCGAGAAAATGGTCGCTATTTTATTATCACTTTAATAAAGGAATTACGCCAACGCCTCCCTACCAATATTGCCACACTAAAAAAAAAGGACTTTTTTCGGTTGGAAATGCATTAAGAGTAATTAAACCAAAAGTATTTGTTCAACTACAGCAACAAAAACACAAATATAATGCCGACGAAATAACATCCATAGAGATGCAATGGCAACGGTTAACGTTACATACCTGGAGTAATTTAGACTCAACTGTAAAATTTTGGGCCGAAGTTTATCAATTTCGAAATGCCCTAGGAGAAAACCCTTTTGCTGACCTTTGCAACCTAGTTTTTAGTTTTCTTGTTTTGCCTATAAGTAATGCAGAAGTAGAGCGAATATTTAGTTCAATGAATATAATAAAAACTAAGCAAAGAAATCCAATGTGCGTTAAAACGTTAAACGCTATTTTATATATAAGATACGGTTTAAAACGTGAAGAAAAATGCTGCCATAATTTTACTGTAGATGACGATCTCTTAAAATTAATGAATTCAGGTGATATATACAATAGTGATTCATTTGATGATGAGGAATATACACTCGATATAAATTAATGGTGTTAACTAGTCTTTCGTTTCTTGCGATTTATTTAAATAAAGCATGTGAAATTTCACTAAAACATTTTAGCCGTTTTTAGCCGCTTTTTTTTGCCAATCTAGCCGGTCGGCCCAAAAAGTTCTGGCAACAACAATAAAAACCCACAAACAGTTTCCTTATTAGTTTAAATTTCATCCAGAAAGATGCGATCAGCTGTTTTTCGTACTGGCAAATTCTTACAAGTAAAAATTTATCCAGTAAAATCCAGTAAAAACTTGCAACTTCAACTGTCATATTTCGCTCTCTCAATTTACCCTAATTTGCAAGGTTTTGCGTACGAAAACGCTAAAAAATGAAAATTCGTAAAAACTTTTACTGGATTTTACTGGAAATGAGTAAAAAAACGCAACTGTTATTGGTGTTAATGCTGGTTCCCAAATAAATGTAGTCGTCTACTTTTTCAAACTTGTAACTGGCAACAGTGGCGCGAATGTGCTGACTGTTTATTTTGTTAACAGGAGATACTTCGTCTATATTTTTTAAAATTATGTGATGAACTAATTCACAATTATATTACATAAGGTATAATAAATTAACTGTCTTTAAAAGCAAGGGAAATATTTTGGCAAGTTTTATAAATTTAAGTTAACTTTGTTATTGCGTATATATGTATGTATTTATGTATGTATAACAGAACAAACAGAGTACCATATACATAACTTTAAATTGATAAAATTTGAAAAAAAGTTTCTCCATATTAAGGTTGAGTTAATTTTTTTTATACATTATTGCATAATATGAATTTAAATATTTAGGTATGTATATTTAAACATGTATGCTATGAAAGGAAATATATATGACATATGAAAGAACTGCAAAACTGGCCTTGTATTTTAGTTAAAATAATTAAAGTAATCATTTATTTATTATTTATTTATTTATTTATTACTTGGAATATTTTTAACTAGCTCGAGGCCCAGCAATTAAATAAAACGCAAATCTTCGTTCTATTGATATTTTAATTGTGGATATTTTGACTTCAATCTGGGGTCATCTTCAGGACTGTAAATATACAAACACGATAACTTATTATTACATTTAAATTATTACAAACATACGTTAAATAATGAAAAGTTAATAATAAGTTATCGTGTTTGTATATTTACAGTCCTGTATATGACCTCCGATTAAGGTCGAAATATCGACAATCAAAATATCAATAGAACAAAGATTTGCGTTTTATTTAATTGCTGGGCCTCGAGCTTGTTAAAAATCTTTCATAATTTAAAATTCAACAGCCAACAACAAAAACAAAATATAAATTGTTATGATAAAATAACCATGTATTTTGGAATGATATGTGGGATACAAATAATGACAGTAACTTTTTGATAATATATAGTAAACATATAAAGTTTTAAAAGTTGAAAAGAATATGTTAATTCATATGTATGTACATTATTAATATTTATCTATATTAATACAAATTATATATACATACAAAATATTAATAATTCATACTTTGTAAGATTACGTAGTCTTTATTAACATAAATAAGTATGATGTATTTGCAATTATAGCAGCTGAGTAAGCAGGGCGCTATGTCATTGAATTCACAAAGGTATGCGGAGTTGTCGGGCATAGTAACCATGGGCGCATCTATGTCAGCTTCTGGTTGCATGAGTGGATTATAATCCCTAAGGGCGGCCGAAAGCAGAAGCAAGCGCAACAGGTGGTGGACCTAACAAAGTGCATGTTTTCAATGGCTTGGAAGAAGCTGTTATTGCATTAACTGGATTGAGAACCAGAGCTTCAGCCATAGGAGGAGTTCTGGCTTGTGGTTCAACAATGCCATAATTGCAAATGCAATAGAATCCTTAATTTCCTTCAAAATATGTAAAATCGAACAATCTTATTATAAATAAGCACTTCATGAGTGTAATTCCTTTCCATTTCGTTTTCATTCATTCAGCTATCTTCGCAAAACAACTGATAGCTAACAATGCTGCACATATTTCTGCAAGGGTTGCAGCATGTAGATTTTTCGTTTTTCGTAGCGTAGCTACGAATTAAGAATTACGAAAATTCGGGCTCTAGAATAAGGGGGTCTATCTCAAAATTTGGTTGAAGAACGCCCTATCTCACTTAAAAATGTATTGGAAATTTGCTGAAATAGGGAGTTTTTGAATCGGCAGCTGAAATAGGGCATTTTTGAATCGAGTTCTGAAATAGGGCGTTCTTGAAAAGGTTTTGAGATAGGGCGTTTTCGAAGTGGCTGCCGAGACAGGTCTATCTTCCATTCAGCAGTCGATATACACGTGTTATTTTGAACTTCTAAAACTTTATATTAAAAATTATAAATAAGTTATTGTCTTTATTATTATATTATTCCACATTGCATAAATGTTATTATTAAAATTATATGATTATTTTTACACTAAACTATATTATGTACATACATTGTATGTATTTATATTAATTATTTTTTCATTATTGTGACTTAATTCAACGCTCCTCCTGATTTATTTTTCGGAATCGATGCGTCCATGTAGTTTAAAAATATCTGCCAAAGTAAAAATACAAGCGAAATTAAATGTTGTTCCATTAGAAATTAATAGCTAACATTACCAAAAAGCGCCGTGTCGGCAATCTTAAATTTAGAAAAGGCCTTTTTACCGCATCTCCGATTTAGTTAAAAAACTGCAGCACCCGCCGCTGAATATTCGCACCACGACAGCATCAATATCCACGCTAGTTCCTTTCAGCAAAAACAAGTAAGAAGTCTGGATATACAATTGTCGTTTTAAACACTAAATATCACATGTTAAAGTAAATAGGTGAGTTAATACTTACAACTGCGTCCTCGTCGATTTGGTCTTGAAGCTTTTCCTCGACATCGAAAACTGCATCAATGTATGAAGGTCATCTCCATCTGAAAGACATACGTATGTACATATATAAAAAAAATAACTTCAATGAAAAACATAGCATATGCAAAAGTGTAAAATAATAAATTACGTTTTCTTCCAGCCTGTCTAATCGTGATTGCAAGCTACATTGCTTTTGAAATATGAGCTCCAACATGTCCAATATTTCTGTAAAAATAAAGAGTTTCAATACAATGTTTTAAGACGTATTTTAATATGTGTTTACACATTGGCTTGGCTGCGAATTTAATACTAAAAGTAGTTATTAATTTAAAAATTAACATCCGTATTTGTACTAATTTGAATATTAATTTACATTGTGAGTTGAAATCAGTTGATAGAAAATTGTTTTTTATTCCTCCCTTCGGTGTAGATGTGGCCGGAGGAGATTCCTCAAATAAGTTCTCCGTGTCCATGTGGTCCATTTTCTTAAAAAAATAATCCCATGTATGAGAGGCATTGAAAAGATAAAATATAATATTTAGTAGTATACGATGCAATTTGTTTATTAAACTAACTGGTTTATATAATACAACTAGTTTGTAAACTCGTGAAAGAGGTGATGTAAAATCGGGATAGTTATAGTTAAGATAGTTATTGTCAACAGGTATACAAAAATATTTGTACTCAATTAAACTTTTCGAAATTCTTATTTTTTCATTATTTAGTCTACTTGCAATCAAAAAGTCCAGAAAAAGATTCAAGAGGTTCATCAAAGTAATTCCAGAATTAATTAAAATTATGCCCAGTAACTAATTCTTCTCCAGATTCCACAAGTGATTCTGTAACTTTGTGTCTTTTTCTTTTTTTTGAACTAATTATAAATGACCCGATTTTTAATTTTTTACTTCATGTAAATGTTTTCGTTCTTTAATTCTTAAAAACAATTGTTGTAAAATATTAGTGGGACTTTTTATAACTTTTTTCAAGTGCTGCATAATGTTTTCAAATTTATAGGCCGAAAACGAATCAAGGGCGATATCTAAAGCACTAAAGCTTATTATGAATACTGAAGCTTATTAAATGATCTCCGAATATACTACCAAATAGATTAACAAAGTCTAGCAACAATTGTTGAACTACATTCTTTGTGGTGTTTTTCCGATCAGTTTAGTTTGGTTGAAATTGTTATATTTGTTAGGCTTTTCTGATCTAACCGTTGTGTAAATAAAAATACTTTATTTAGCTTTTTCCCGACGTTTCGCTAAGATTTTTAGCATCTTCAGGGGAGTTTTTTGTTTATTTACCTGCGCAGCAATAAATATAAAACATTAACAAAACAACAAAAAACCAACAAACATATGAATACATAAAAAACAAATAGCTAAGTTTAACACAAAATAGTTATTAACTTACATTACATATAAGATTAAACTTTATAACGTAAAACTAAATAGCATTACCAACGCTTGTGGTAGCTGTGTCTAAACTGAATGTTATTGATAATTTATAAACATAATAAATAAACTGCAGCGATGTCATCAGCATCCTCTTTCTTGTTCATTGCATTGTCCCTTTTCTGCATTATTCTTAAGCTTTCTAATGTTCNTCTTGTTTTTGTTCTTTTCTCTACATCAAGTATTCTTGCGTTCGCCAAATCAGCTGTATGGCCACTGGTATTAATATGCTGCGCTAGCGCTGTGCTGTTTCTTTGTTTTTTTTATGTCTGCTTCGTATTCGCTTAGACGAGTACCCAGAGCTCGCTTGGTTGTTCCGATGTACACTTTGTCGCAGTTTTCGGCTTCTTTACCATTGCACTTTATTTCATAAACCACATTGTTTTGTTGTTTGAATTCTATAGGGGATTTTGTTTTTGTAAATATTGTGGATAAAGTGCAATTGGATTTGTATGCTAGCGTTATGTTCTGTTGTTTAGCAATGTGTTGATTTAAGTTTTCGGACAACTGCGGAATGTAAGTAACACTGAAATATCGATTTGTGGTGTTTGTTGTTACTTTACTCGACGTTTTATTAAGGTGACCGTTCATTTCTGTAGTTTTTTGTTTTATTAAGTCGCATGTTAACTTTTCTGGGTAGCTATTACTTTTTAGGATCTTTTTGAGTTTTTGTATGTTTATGTCGTGAAATTTCCTGTCACTCAATGTGAGTACTTTGTGTATTAAATTTTTAGCCGTATTGATTTTGTATTTTTTAGGTTGCGCAGATAAGAAATTAATCAGACGACCCGAAGACGGTAAATGTGTCAAACGATCAGCTGTAGTGTGTTTGGCAACCAAATTGTAAACAAAAGAAAAGTGCACTCTGCTAATTCATGTTGAAAAGTATTTAATTACTTGTTTAAGTGGATTCTAATGAATTTGAAAGTATTTTTGGTTATTTACATGTGTGAGCTTAGTATGTTTATATACAAACCAAGCAAAAGTTTACAACCAAAATTTGGAGGTTATGTTGAAGTTGACAGAAGTTACAATTTTTTACTAGAAAGCGATCCCCTACTTTACAATGTTACTCTCTCGCTCTGAGCGAATTTTTATTTTTTGACAGTTTTACTAGTCCGAGTCCGAGGAATACGGGATTGCACCTAATTATTATAAATGTGAAAGTTTGCATGTTTGGATGTTTGGGAAATCATCACGCGGAAACGACTGCACGGATTTGCATGAAATTTTGTACGCAGATAGCTTATGGGCCAGATTGGTTAATAGGCTATTCTTTTTTTAAGAGTTGCCACCTGTTAAAAAAGTTTCATTTATTTAATATGCGGGAACGACTGAAAGGATTTGCATGAAAATTTGCACACAGATATCTTATGACCCAGATTGGAAAATAGGCTACTTTTCTTAAGAGTTGCCACCTGTTAAAAAAGTTTCATTAAATTAATACGCGGAAATGACTGAATGGATTTGCATGAAACCTTGCAAGCAGATAGCTTATGACCTACAGTGGAAAATAGGCTAATTTTTTGGAAGAGTTGAAACCTGTTAAAAAAGTTTAATTAAATTAATACGCGGAAACGACTAAACGGATTTGCATGAAATTTTGCACTTAGATAGCTTATGACCTAGGTTAGAAAGTAGGCTACTTTTTTTAAGAGTTGCCACCTGTTAGAAATGTTTAATTTAATTAATACGCGGAAATGAGTGAACTGATTTGCATGGAAGTTTTTACACAGATAGCTTATGAGCTAGGTTGAAAAATAGGCTACTGTTTTAAGAGTTACCACCTGCCAAAAAAGGTTAATTCAATTAATACGTGGAAAAGACAACGGTTTTGCATCAAATTTTGCAAGCAGATAGCTTATGACCTACAGTGGAAAATAGGCAAATTTTTTGGAAGAGTTGCCACCTGTTAAAAAAGTTTTAATGAAATTAATACGCGGAAACGACTGAACAGATTTGCATGACATTTCGCACAGAGATAGCTTATGACCTATGTTGGAAAATAGGCTACTATTTTAAGAGTTATCACGTATTAGGAAACTTTAATTAAATTAATACGTGGAAATGACCGAACTGATTTGCATGAAAGTATGCACACAGATAGCTTATGACCTAGACTGGAAAATAGGCTACTTTTTTAAGAATTGCTACCTGTTTGAAAATTAAATTTTGCTCTAAGATGGTTTATGACCTGGATTGAAAAATAGGCTACTTCCTTAACCGGTTTTCCGATCAGAACGGAATTCAGTACACTTACTACGGATTTCGGAAGGATGGTCTTAGACTGAAAGTAAGTCCGATAACTCAAGGCCCCTCCCATACAAATTGGAATTTTCATATTACATACATATCTCTGGAAGTATTTGTGGGAGAGAACTGAAACTTATAGTGATATGTATGTGAAATCAATGTTGGCATTAATCGATTGATGTTTTAATTAGTTAGTTAATTCGATTAAATTGAATCTGATTACAGTTAATCATGATTACTTTTAATCCGACTAAACAGTTAACCGTAACCGCGATTAAAAAATTAATTCTTAATCATTAACTCTTAATTTGATCAAGTAGGTTTGGTGATTAATTAAGTTATGCTGGAATTTTCCTGTGACACAAAGCTAGTTAATCCAGTATGGCTAAGTACGGTTTCCTCATCAATCTAAGCAATTTGGTGGGCATTTTCATTATATATATAGCACCTCCCATACTGACTGAAAGTTTCATATTGCATATCTCTTCAAATGTTTGGGGTAAAGCACTCAAGCTTGGTATGGAAATACATATGTATGCATGTATGTATGTGAAACTAATACCATACTCATGGAGAAAAATGAGAGTTATTGGAAAAGGTGGTGTGGCAACTCCCATGCAAATTGATTTTTCTATGCTGCATATCTCTGGAGGTGTTTATTGCAGAGGACTGGAACTTGGCACCGAGATGTGTATACAAAATTAATTCCATACTCATAGAGAAGAATTTGTGTTATTCGAAAAGGGGACATGGTAACTCCCGTACAAATTTATTGTTTTATACTGCATATCTCCAGAGATGTTCATGGTAAAGTACTGGGACTTGGTACTGGGGTATGTAAAATCAATTCTAAATTCATGGAAGAAGATTAGGGTTATAAGCAAAATGGGCGTGGCACTTCCTGTATAAATTGACTTTTTCTTGCCACATATCCCTGGAAGTGTTTGTGGAAGACAGAATAAATTTCATTAAATGGAAAAGGGAGAGCCGGGTTCGACCTTATAATCTAAAGCTCTCTTGAGGCATTTGCTACAGTAATGAGAAGTGGTATTTTATCAAGGCCAAGTTACTAAATTTGAGTTGGAAATATTAGAACTCGCCGTGGCACCTCCAAGAAGGTTTCACGTTCACGCGTCGTATACCTGGAAACCTTTTAAGGTAAACTTAGAGGGAGGAGAGAGGAGATTTTATAATTTCATAGTTTCAAACGGCCTAAATACCTTAACTCGCTTAGAAAATAACGAGCTTTAACGAAATGGGCACAGAAATAAAATCTAACATCATTAAATTATTTTTCCTATTTGTATAAAAGCGCGGGGTGAAACCCGCGGGTATAAGCTAGTTTTGATATAAATTTAATATCGATGTTTGAGTGTTTTAGCTCCGAAATGGTATTGTCAAGTAATTCGTCCATGACAATATCAGAATTTATTGTTACATACGAAGTAATTGTTGTCCTTGAGACAAAAGTCTAGAATACTTAGGAACTTGTTCTTAGGAATCATCGTCATATTTTCTATTTTTGCCCATTTTCTCATAATTATTCTTGAAGCTAAGGCTGTTGGTATATTTGTAAACAGAGATACGACATCAAACGAAACAAGTACATCTTCTTCACATACATTTACATCGGACAGCTTATTTTTTAATTCAAAAGAATTGTTTATATTGTAGTCTTCCGAGATTAGTGGCTTTAGGATTTCTCCAACATATTTAGACAAGTTTGAACATGGGACTTTACAGGACGAGGCAATAGGACGTAGAGGGATTTCTGGCTTATGGATTTTTGGCAACCCATAAAGTCTGGGAGCCGTTGCTGCAATGCTGGTAAGATGTTGCTTTTCTTTTGCGTTTATGTATTTGCATTTGTATAAGTCATCCACTATGTTGTTATTTTTTCTTTGCAAAGTATTTGTTGGATCTGCTCGTATTGTTTTGTACGTGTTCTTGTCTCCTAGTAGGTTTTCTATTTTTTCTACGTATTCTGTTTTGTACATTGCCACTGTTTTATTCCCCTTGTCTGCGTCTGTTATGATGATGTTGTTAGTGTGTGCTTGGAGGAATGTTTTTGTTTTTTTGTATGCTTCTAAAATGAACTTTCCGTCTACATTGTTTTTTATATTGCGTTTGAATTGTAAAATCCTATTGCTTAGTTTATTTCTCGCTAATCCTTTTTCTCTATCATTAATTATCGTCTGAATCACTTACTCCATTTCTGCAATTGTGTGAACTGCCGAGAAGTTGGATTTTGTTGTTGGCAGCGTGAATTTCTTTCCTAATGAGAGGAACCACTTCACCTCCTGGGGAAAGACGATGCTGGTTTTGTTTACGAATCAGTTTTCGTTGATGGTTATGCCTAGTTTTCGCATTCTTTCCTGTTTTATTTTCTCAATATTAGAGCTGAGAGTTGATTCTTTCTCCTTCGCGATCTTATGACATAAAAGGTTTTGTTTTTGTATGAACTTGATAAACTCCGATTCACTTAGTGTGCGCTTTAGTTGGATTTCTGTGTGATGCAAATTATTTTTTGCTGCTCTAATATTCATGTTTGTTTGTGTTATTTCTATGTT